ATTAAATAACCTATTACTGAGGTCAAAATAACAAAGGCGAAATTTCTAGTGAACAGTCGGGCTATATAGAATAAACGCCAAATTACAAAATATTTGATTAGGATGTAGAGCACGGTGCTGCACAGTACAGTGGATAGAGTACCTTAAAGCTCCACTCCAAATCCATCAATTTACTAGTAGTACTGTGATGATATTTCCGACTTGGAAACATGTTTTTTGGCTGGCATCAAGCCAACTCGAGTACACTGTCTAAATTTTAATGGTGACGTCCATTTAACCAGATAAATAATATTCTCCGGCAAAGGTATATTTGACGTTTTTATAAACGCCAACACTAACGGCTCCTCTTGTTCGGGGATTCGATACAAACAACAGACATATATTCATACGTTTGCTACCGTCGTCCAAGGTTACTCCTTTCCTCTGAAATGACCGATAAAAATCAGTCCAATGCAAGCAAACTGCAGGTCCGACTAGCATTCCGACAACAATCGGATTTTGTGTTTGAAACAGGTGACGTTGCCACTAGAACTAGGTCTTTTCTTTCACTCCCAAGGTTCCAGTCCTTTACCGGCAGGTGGCATTCCACCAGCAACCCCTCCAACGTCTCTGCCACTTCTGACCTGCAAAGGAAGGCAGAAACGCCCTGGAACAGTCTAAACCATAACTCTCCCTACAGCTGAAAGTGGTCCTCTGGAATGCCTTTTTATCTAAGAAATTTCTGTTGTTTAGATTGCAATCGGAACTTCGCTGAGCATCAGAAATTTCAGATTTCAAGAAATATATGTATCAGTTAAGATAAAACTTTTGTTCGAAATAGAGAAGGGCTTAAATGGAAGTGGTCTATTGACTCCTCCACCAGGGACATTTTGAAGACCTTCCTCCCTTTCAGTCACGTACACAGAGCAATAACTTAGTAGCGAATAATCTCATGGAAGATAATGACTTCATTGGTACTTCAGCAAATGTTGATCTCTTGGATATTAATCTTTATCTTCGTGAGCCAGTGAGTAATTGAGACATCTAAAGCCTCTCAAATGTCCTTAGAAATATGGTCCGAATTTAGGGGAGGAAGGCCGTTTATACAACCAGCTCCTGTAACATGGCCAGTTCATATTCATCAATTGGAAAACCTACTTTAGACCACCAAACAAGGATTAGAGATATTACTATTGACGCCTTAAAGCTACCAATCTGGAGGAAATACTGTGCGACAGACAGGTAGTGGTCTGAAAGACGTAAAAAGTCTAAACATCAATGCGTGCTTAGTTGCTGCAAATGAGAGGAATATATGGGATCTTAATAACTGTCTAGAAAAAATCTAATGAGAACTATGTACTACACTACCTTGCTAGTTAGAAATGCGAATTTCTAAAGAAACGCCAAAACGCCAAAAGCACTGAAATGTGTATCGAATGTGTAAAATTAATTTTGGGTTAACATGAAGCCTGACCATGTAAATAACAGAATAAATATAGCGACATAAGCCTAGTAATGTTTAAAAAATTATTTCATAGAGTTGCGCACATTCCTATGATAGGACTCGGAAGACACGTTGGCGAGAATATGTTTGCATCTGCTACATTCTCGTCAGACCAATGCATGTGCACATGTAGGAGTAGGGTCAAGTAAAATCAATGAGTGGTGCGATACGTCGATTAACGTTAGTCAAATCTCACAAGCAGGACGTGGCAAAGGGGTTAGGAAGAGCCGTGTCAGCGTTGGGAGGGGGGAGGAGGGCGCGGAGACTTGCATGTTGTGAAGGGACCATTGGCTATGGTAAATACGGAGCTAAAATGATGTCTTTCTGTGTGTATACCAGGCGTAGCCTTGCGGCAGTCACTTCTGCTTTCGTTAGCAATGTTGACACAATGACGCGGGATACTTTGGCTGGACCTTATAAATCACATGAAAGACTTCGTTGGGGCTAACATCATGTCAGAAATCAAAGATACGTACGAGAATGGCACTGGCGGAAGGTGTTTCCGTAATCTTCCATATAGACGCCGACTCTGCGACCGATATAGCCAGTTCTACAGAAGCAGGTAACAGAGTAAACGCATGTGTGGGTGGTTTGAACTGGCAACTCATTCCCATTTTCTCTGTGTTAAGCTGGCTTGGTCAAGAATAAATGTCCGAACAGTTTATGATACAAACATCTTGGCCAACCTAATATCCCATGAATTCCCTCGCCGCGCCCCCTTGAATTGGGACATTGAGAAGCAGAGTTTACTGTTCCGCTGGCATTGTGGTGGATTTTCCTAGTCTTTTGATAATATTCTTTATAATGAATCTGCCCGGTCACCGCCCTCGTGAAGGTAACCCCTAGATCTTTCTATGCACCTTGTCATTGCTGTCTGGCAAGCCCATTCCTTTCGCCCTTTGCATCAAACGACGGATTAGGATTTGTTTCTGTTGATGAGGGACGAGATGACTGAAGCAGTTTTATAGGCAAGAACCAGTTTTATTCCAATTGACACTCCTTCGAACTTAAAAGAAGGAGCTCAAACCTGCTGTTCCCACTCTTGCGTAACGCATGATGAACAAACGTGCCTGCTGTACAACATCTAAGATGGCAGTTGTGTTAGTTTCTCTAATGGTACTTGAGACGCTGTCATCAGTGTGGCGAGCGTAACGTCCTAGGCTATTCAGTTGGTAGTTAAGGCGAAAGTTCTACAGTTTGCCCGTGAAGACATTGACAATTGCAACGTGATAGCATGGTATTCCGTCTATTCGCCTATATAGATGATTGTCAAAATATAAAATACACATTTACTTCACCTGCTCTTATCCTGCCTTAACTTTCCTGCGCAGAATGAATGTCCATTTTCTAGTTGGACGACATTTGGTTTGGCAAAGTTTTCCGGTTTATATTGCTACACAGCATAAATGTGCTTTTCATTTATAGGTTTTTTTCGACAGGTAGGAGAATGTCAAAGGCATAATAAATATGACATTTTCATTAATGTTTACTCATGATCACTAACAACAGGACTCTCGAGACTTAAACTAAAAGTGTAATGACGCGAGGTATGTTATCATAAAATGCATTAAGTAGTAAGTGGAATTTCAATAACCGATGGCCTAAAATGACAACAGGCTTTACTTTTGGCGCACGGGTGAATTTTCATGTCGAAAACAATAAATGCGTCCCTTATGCGAACGGCAGCTAATCAAAGTTTGCGAAAACTATTATTCAAGAGCACAAATACGACAGACTGTTCGCAGATTGTTAATCATCCAGTGATGTAGAGATCCGAGGCAATTTACCGTAGAGCAAATGCGAGTTTTGAAGGCATTTGGAAAGGATCTGACATAATGCACAGGGAAACTGACAAATGAATTCCAGACTAACGGAGAATTAAATAGATCAGCCATGGACAAACAAGACAAACCGAATAATTTATAAGGCATAAAAGTGATGTCTAACCCTCCAATAAAGGGGGAATTATTGGATTGCACAATCCAGACCTAGATATCGTCTGGAGGGAATAACCCGGAAATCAGTCAAAATACCTTGAATTTCGCACCCAAAAGAGCACCTTTTGCTGAATTAACAAACAAGAGAAAATCATTGTACATGAATTTGGATTCTTATGGGTAAACGTATGGTTACAATTCCGTAAAAGCCTGTTCAAAGGCTCTGACTGTTAACTCGGCAACCGCAATATAAAAAGTGCTAGTAAACTACGTGGACTTAGCGTCAACGATTTAGTTTGCGCTTGAAATGTGAATCAATTCATTGAGTACGGCCAAAACCAGCTGTTCAAATGATATCGAATTTCGGTCAGATGTAGTTATGTAGCCGCACCTGAGGTAAACTAAGCCCCAGCCACCTCGAATACGGGGCCGGTGATAATAGGGGTTTTGCACGTGGAGCCGATGAACGCACAGGCGACGAAGTCAAATAGTTGTATGCAAAAGAAAAACTGTTGGGAGTGCGTGGTTGTACTTTCAATGGTTGAGAAATGATTGCGCTAACCCCTTACCCTAACGATAACCCCTAACCCCCTACCCTGCCCACTATCCATAATCCCCAACCGTAAGCCCTGACCCTAACCCCTAACCCTAACCCCAGCAGTATTGTGCCCATCAGGTGGGGCTACTAACCCATATCTTATCCAAAAATATTAAAATTCCTGTTACTGACAATTTTCTAGGGCTTACCAGGTAGCAACTTTATCGAGCGAATCATTTTATCGGCAAACCAAGCAAAGGGATGATCGTGCATTGAATCGCTTCGAGATAAACAGAAAGTTTAAGTTGGATCAAATCAATCATTGTCGTTGAGTTAAGGCCTCATCATTATGCTGTTGTTTGAGAGAGCTGGTGGGACGCCCATGGGCAGGCTCATACTGTTGTATAAAATCCTGATGATTGTTCGTTGTGGACCGGGGGATGTGCTGGGTGCAGGTTTTTGTCGTTTCAGCCACCTGCGCCCTCATTCGGCCTTCTTGACGACGCCGTCTCGGCATTGGGTGCAAGTGGGAGAGACGGTGACCGTGCGGTAGACGCAGCGCAAGTCCAATGTCAGTATAGATCAATTCAATCACCGTTCACCCTGCCTTTGCAACACACGGTGGATATCTTTGGTCCCGACGACTCAACTATTATGCGAAGCTAGCTTTCTCCACGTCGACTAATTACTGTCAGGTGGTTTGTTTTTTCAGCCACTTTATTCTGCTTCGGTACAGTAGTCTGATTGATCGGTGGAAAATCGCAGTAAACACCACCCCGGTTATATTTGAGGTTAATTCTACTCAGACAACCTATGCAAGAGAGCGACAAACAACATACAGGTAGCACATCTATGCCAGTGGCGGAGAAGTGCATCTGTACCGGAGAGGGCAAATTTGTTTGCATCGCATGGTAATCGTTCGATACTTTTGCAAGAAAAGCAAGTGTCCTTCATCTACTAAACAGCTCATTCTGTTCGTCTACCGTGGCGGAGATATAAAAGCTGCTCACAGTCTTAAACGCAGATTCTTCATTCAAACGGAATGCGTTACTTCTTTAGTTCTGAAATCTCACTCGTGATAGTTCTCCTTCTATCGCAAAACAGGTGGGCTTTTTTCCTCATTTTATTTTTATTATAACTTGCTTGGGAAAGTAACCCTGGCACATCTTTGCTAAAAATGACCTTATTCCAAGTAAATCATGCCCTTAGGCTAAACAGTTATCGACAGTTATCAGAACACATGTACAAATGTCCAAAAAATTTATACATATAGAACTTATCGTCAGATTATGATGTCTACGCAAAATTCAATTGGGCTGAATGATATTCTTGTTTAAAATAAATGTCTTTAGCAGATTCTTTACAGGTTTTTTAGTGGATCCGGCCTTACGGAGATGGCTTTAATTAATCGAATGATAATTTTATAACCGGGAGATACTACTCCAAGATTATGAGGTGAACTTTATTCAAAAGTACAGCCTGCATATTTCATAGAATTTGGTCATTTGACAAAAAATTCAAGCATGCTTGCACGATTTTGAACAGAGTATGCATTTTGCACTCGGTTAGCTATAAGTCTGGAGATGTTTCGTGAAAGTGCTGTTAATTTGATTTCAGCATACATATATCTCCTCACCGGAATTATGGACAAAGTAGGTTTCATAAGAACGGCACATGTCGAGTGTATGCTTAAATGGACTGAGTGTTGGCATGCCCTGGTAACCTCAGTTTTCAGAAAAATAGAGGGAACCGCAAAACGTCTTGCTCCAAGGACATCCACTCGCGCTAAGTAGAGCATTTTGCTGCTTACACAATCCAGTCCTACTAGCCACAGTGTTGCCGAAGAGTTAGTGAAAATATTCCTGCTGTAGAAAATTTGTTTTCCAATTTTGTACACAGTGGTTTCGCCTGTTTCAAGACTTTAAACGTCATAGTTAATATTTGCTATCGCAATCAACGTGGCACTGGGTCCGTGGCTGAACTTTAGTGCGTTCGACTCAACACCGTTTAATAAATTAAAGAATCCGCGATCTAATCTGAAGGTCCTGCAAACCGGTGACAAGGTAAAGCTAGTTGCCGCAGCTGATGGACCAAAATTCGCCCTCTCGGTCTCTCTTATCTTTGTCAATTTTCCTTCTCAAATAGTTGTTACCCGATTTTCTCAAAAATCCATTGCATTTCGCTTCGTGTTACTCTAGGGACAGCCCTTATTCCGAGTGAATTACTGAACTCTGCAAGAATCGAGTACATTACCTCATGAACGGCTTCAATAAATTGTAAATATTAAACGAAACTGCACGTCATGCCAGCTTCAAAAGATTATCTGATATACACAATGTGTGAACTATAGGCATGACTTTCAGGCATCGCTTTGACGGAGACACAAAGACTCACATACGGCGTATAAATAGCACATCCATATCACACTCTGTCTAGCAGAATTCATGAGAATTCTTGAGAAGAAAGCTAAAATGCTGACTAATATGCACGTCACTTTGCATGATGAAAGGGGGTTCATTTACAGTTCCTGCTTTGGTCAAGTTTGCAGCTTTCAGCCGTAGCTACAATCATAATTACGAGGATGAATGTACAAAATTCTGACTTGCTGACGTGTCACATAAGATTCATTATCGATTGGAAAGATCCAGCCAGCTGAATTTACAATATTTAATGGCGTGCAGAAAATTCCAGAGCATCCCAGTCGCGCTGAGATACCACCATTTAAATGGACTTCATCGAATTCGGAGGTCACCGTATCATAAAGCGCACTTTATTGACTGGACGCACAAGAATTCCATTACTCATTCTCATTAGACAGCATATTATGTCTGAAAAAGGTGTGCTCCAGTTTTGAAGACACTTTTTTTCCAGGGTTTGCGTTTAGGGTTCCCAAGTTACAAATTGGCATCTTGGTGGGGTTGGATTATCTTGAGATAACGTTACAACCCCCCTTACAAATCATTCCTATTCGAAAGTATATTTTTGAATTTCGGTAAGTAGTTCATGAGATATTGCAGTCGCATAACGTCTTTGCTGCCGATAGACCACGATACTTGATAATTACTTAATTAGTCTGTCATAATAACTGCGGGCTGTTATAGAAGGCAATATTTGAGAATTAAGCAGTCCTCTGGGAAATGAATGTTGGGAAAGGGATTTAATCATTATGTTTCATTGCAGATGGGTGGAGGTTCCAAGTATTCAAGTGACGGAAAGTAGAACTGCAAAATCCTAAGTTATGTGTTTTGTCCTCTGAACATATAATACGGCTGGCTTTACGCTTACGTTTAAACCTATTCATTTCTTCTGTTCCACCAAAGTCTGTCAATAAACATTTGCCAATGGAACAGCAGAAAAATAATATCTACAAGCGGCTATTATAAACTTACAACACTGAGTCCTTCTTATTACTCGGTAGGTTTTATTTTAAGCATATTGCTAATCTTTACAAAATGCGCCCTTTAAAAAACTTTCAGATATACAAAATCTAGTGTGATACTTTGTTTTCTGTCGTAATATGAATCTACTCCCCACTCAAACAACCTACTGCTGCCTTTTTAATGCATGTTACTAACTTCTAACCTTGTTTGTGTGACTGTTTGAATTCTAAATCATTACCGACATAGGAAATTGCACACGTGTCAATAGTTGATTTGTTTGAACTTCAATGGCACTTTTGCCTCTCGCCAAGGCATCTGCTTGCATGATTCATAATTTTAGATTTTGGCGAGTTGGATATTTTTTCCTAATTCGTCAGAAGTGCGATTTGAAAATATTCTTATAGGTCTTACAGGAGCAAATGCATTTTCTCTTTTATTAAATAGATGTAACAAGGGATCATGTGCAGGTTTCATGCGTTTTCTACTAATATCCGTTATAGGCTGATCCTTTCCTGCGGTGTTTCTTGACTATATTTCTAGCTGAAAGATTGAATATCAAACGCTATTTTGATAGCAGTTGCCCGTGTTATTTCAAATTGTTCTAGAAGGGCTTCATAAATGGACAAAAATTCTCAACCTCTTGGTGGAAATTATACACCTGCGAGACAGACAGTCGCAGTTTCCAATGCTACAGCGGCAAAAGTATGTTCTACACGTTTGCCAGATTATTTTGTCATAATACGGCAAAATCGTTCGATTACAAGTGCTTTACTCTGGGCGTAACATTTCAACAGCAGCTAAGTATAGCAACGGTATCAAATATTTTACTGGAGACTTGTCACTATAACGCTTTTACTAGCAACTACCCCAAAATTAAACTCAGGTACCTTCTTGGCTTTTATCTTATTTAACGAAGGCGGATTTACCAACTGTGGGCTAGAGTACAAGTAGATCAAAAATGGCTGTGCGATTGACAATCCAGCGTAAATATTATGATATAATATCTGGCATTTATGGTAAAGGATCCATTGAAATAAGCGTTTCATTAATGAAGGTGCGTGAGAGAGAACGGTCATTCAAATAAGTGAATATGAAATAATTTCGATCGTTAGCTACTTTCGTGCTGACTGGAAATTACTATCGTCCAGGTGTGCTGAGTTTAAAACCTCAGAGGCGATCATAACCTTGGGAATTTATATTAATTCTTTCATATGTGGAAAACCCTACGAACTTTTAGAAAAAATCTATCGTAAATATATACGCATATATTGTATACAGTGAGTTTACTAGCTTAAGGGAATACAGCACTAAGTAATAAGTCCAGCTTGCTCAATTTTTAAAGCATCATTTATCTTCAGCTAACATCTAACAAACTCTTAATAATTGTTTTGTCTAATGGCAAATAACGTCATATTGTCAGAAAGAAGTATTGCGTCCACCTAATCGGCATTATATTATATTACTAACTTGGGTAAAAGTAGGTAGATAACCTTCACCAAGTATGCCCTTGTAATTGGGATGTTTTCGTTTGTGGCTACACCTAAAGCCATAAGAAGACGCTGGCCACTACGATACTCAGGACCGGTTGCGGAGTGGAAGATACGGATTTGGACGCCAGCTGATAGGATACTGTATTCTATGAAGAAGGATTGGAGAGCCGGCCGGAGTAAGCTGGGAAACGGACGAAAGAACATGTCTGGCGCCACGGGATGTGCGGCCCAGTCGGCGGTGGGGAATGCGTTACAGCGGGTTGAGCGACGGCTCGTCTTAGTCAGCCTTGAATGAGATTGGCCGGGTTGGGCAGCCGTGGTTGACCGAGGCCCAGACTACCGCTGGCGCGCAGGTGCAAGCACCCGTAAGAGGCACGGCGTCAAGGTTAAGGTTAGCATAAGCGCTCCCACCCAACGGAACGGAGGAGGAACGAGTAGCTTACTAATGGCGATGTTGTCGACAGTGGGGGGCGGCTATAGCTGGCAGAAGAGAGTCAGGGTAATAGGGAGGTTAGGGAAAAGCCGGCGGTTGGTTTGTTGATTTGAACGCCGACGGCATATCCGTTTGTTGTGCTGGTATTTGTTGGTTTGATTGAGGGGACATCACTGTGGATACCGGACACTTGGAGGGACGTCCAGGTGTCGGGCCTAATGGATGAACTACGTTGACGGACTTGATAGAAACCATGGCGTTAGCTTTACGAGCTGCGGTTGTTCGATTAATCCCATTTTACGATATTTTAAATAGGCTGTTTTGCCTTTTATCTCCCTGCTATTCCCATAAGTCTTTTAAATTCACGACGACAAATGAGGTCTAGACGGTTTGCCATGGTTTTTCGACGTCCAAATATGTACAACTTTGAATTTTCCATTTAGTGTTGCATAATTCATGCGCAAAATAATGGCAGATGAGTCGTCCTTAGAAAAGACCTGTGCTTAGCATGGACATTAGAAACTACTGGTAGGTTAGCGTTCTCGGATCTCTTCCAACGTTTAGCCTATGCCATTAAGGTGCCCGATTACACAAGGCACATAGAATTCTTCGTCCAGTTGAGGATGTATGTATGGAACAAGGGTTCACACATAATTAACGAATTTCTGAGAAACTGAAAAATAATGTTATGCTCTCTCGTTGGCTGTCAGATTTCACATGAGATCGGATTTCGGTTAGATCGCAGTTGGCAGCCAGGAATGGGAAGCGGACGGTGACCTAAGCCTAACCCTAACCTCACCAGTAAACGTTAGCCGTTAACCGTAACAGCAACCCTAATCGTAGCCTTAACCGAAATCGTAAACATTACTGTAGCCCTTAGGCATAGGCGTAACTAGGAAACCTACCCGTAATACAGAAACCTATTCTTACGTTCAAAACCTAACTGTAACCCGAAAACCTAAGCCTAAAGGCATAACCATAACCCGAAAATCGGAAACTATTAACCGGTGCCCTAATCTTAACCTCAACCGTAAAACGGAAGCCAAATGGGTCATATGTGATTATGGAGGTTCACAAAATAGCCCCAGTAAACAAACCCCCCAGCCACCTGTAATGCGGGACCTGGCTACCAACTGCGATCTAGCCCGGATTTCGTTAAGACCGAATAGGCGTATAAAGCGCATTTAAAATGTAAGCGGTGATTCCGATACTTTAATTGGACATTGAAGACACTTGCTTTAGCGAAATGCAGGAGCTGCTGATTCCGGAGCAGAACACGTTAGCATTTACAAAAGTGGTAACGTTGCATCTCATGGCATGCAGTGCAGTCTCAAAAAAAGTTGATTTAAATTGCACAAACGTTACATCGGGTGAGTTTACAAATAAATTGGAACAATTCAGCAGCCAGACATTTGTGGCATATTTTAATTGTTCGCGGGCCTTAAGGATTCTGTGCGTCTGTTTGTAGCATGATTCAGCAGACCATGGCACTCGCAGCCTGGTGGGCGCGGGCAGTTCTCTGGAGCCAGGTTTCCGGCCGGTAGATGGGCTTGCGATCCCGCTGTGTATACAGGTTGCGTGCACGACAGCCCAGCCGCCCCACTCTTTCTGTTCTTATTTCTTTTAATTAAAAACCATGGCCAAATATTTGTTATGGGCCAGGGAATGTGGAGTTGTACGCCTAGGCGCAGGTCCGACCGCGCCACTCACTTGCGTCCTATCCCCAGACGGTGATATAAGCCATCCTGCATTGCCGACGGTCTTGCCAAAAATTTTACATCGGGGTTGGTTAAACTTTTGTGAAAGGCTGCTATGCTGTGATTCAGCAAACCATGACCCTCGCAGCCAGGCGTGCGCTGGCAGTTCTCTGGTACCCAGTTCCCTGCCGGGAAATGCGCTTGCGCTCCCGCTGCGTACACAGGTAGTGTACACGGTTGAACAGTGACTTGCGTTATCCTTCCCCTTCTGACTCAACTTTGTTAAAATGCTGGTCAAGTGTTTGATGTAGATGTGGAGGTATGGTGGTACGCTTACGTACGGGACCGGCAGTGCCGGCCACCTGCGCTCTCTCCGCCTTCGGTCTTCTTAACTATGTCCGGACACTAAGTTCAGACGCGAGAGGAGGAGGGAGTGCGGTAGATTTTGAGCAATTATGCTATCACTATAAACTGATTCAAGTACAAGTCATTGAGCTTTTTCTCCCCTTGCAGTAAAGCACATGGTTGACATTATCGGTGGACAACAGTCGAACTGTCTGTATATACTAAAGATATCATTTATCTAGAGTGGCTTTCCGAGGCAAACAAGCCTTCAATAGGTGACGGAGTCCACGGACAGGCGACTTCCTGTCAGGCCAGGCTATGAGGACAGGGAACGCTGGTAGACTGACGCAGTATTGTTTCGGGTTTATTCTCCCTCTGATATCATTTATCGCCTCGTTCGTATAAAACTGCCATTTAATCTCACAGCACACGGCTTGGATGTCACAACACTGGAGTTTGAGAATATAACCGGAGTGGATGCCGTTGTCATTAATTCCACCTACCCGATCACGGTTCATCGGGTAAAGAAGCCCGCAAAATCCACCAAAATACGTAAGCATTTAACTTTGAGTTTACCTGGGTAAAATCTGTACTTTCTTTCAATTGTCAAACCAATTCTGAAAACCAATTTGGTCTTAGTTAAGTAAGGCTTATGCAAATGATGTGACAGAGCAAAAATCCGGCAAAGGCATGGTTTTAATGAATATTCCGTAGACATTTTATGCTGAACGGTATGTTAGGGAAGAAAAGTACCAAATGTGATGCAGTTAGGAACGGCAATAAGCAAAGACGTTAATATTTGTGGTGTGACGACAGATCAAGTTACACATGAATTAGACAAACCTGAACTCACTGACTTCCCTTCTCTCTAAAAGCTCGCTTCCATCTTACGGAATCAACGGAATTCAACTATTGCCCGAAATGGGACCAGTTGAATCTAACATGGACCCTGATTGGAGATGTTACTTCGACTCAACTTGTAGGTTTGAAGGAAATTTTTCTAACGCAATGGTCTTTAACCTCTACAGTTGACGTGTTTCGCAAATAAGACAAAACTTTGTGAAGGAACCACCATCGACATAAGTGAGAAATCAGGAAAGTGTGGTAAGTTAAAATTTGGCTGTGGTTGATTCTAGGATCTCCGTCTCAGCTGTACTCCAGCGTACATGTTCCCTTATAAACAGTCTGATGCTCTCTGAAACTATAATGACACGCTAGATGACATAGCATGGACGATTAGAAACCGACTGGGTACCAATCGGCAAAGGCTCCTTCCGAATGTGGGCTCTTCGGCACTATCACTCAAGTTAAATTGGAACAACCTCTTTCTTGTTTCTGCTAAACCGTTGCCCATCGTGTTCGGACTGGATCATATGTGGCGCGTTTAGATGAGCCGTTTAAGTTTTATTCAGGCACCGTGTTCGATCAGCCTGCCTCTGTACCAGAGGTATGAGGGAGGAGAGATTGTAGTAGGTGCTGCGTCAGTCGGTTTTCACTAAAAGTCACTTCATGCTCGAGCAACCCTCCCTGAGTTCTGTACGCTGTCGGACACATAATGTACATCGTCGTCCTCTACAAATGAAATGGCGCCTAAACTTGACGCGCAAGTCATAGTAAACACAAACGGCGCTTGAAACACACGTGGTGAGTATAAAGTCATCTGAAAACGATTTGAGCCATATTTTTAAGTGCCTGAGGCACCAGAAACTCTAGACATAAAATATCTTAATCATCGCAATTCTTCAGAAGGAAAATTGCAAAGTAGGCATTGGGGAATATATTTAACAGAAATCCTTCATTTCACCTATCACGCTCCAGCTCAGGATCTATGGAAAATCCGAAATATTGTTGACCCATGAATGGAAGATGCGTAACGTTAAAGACGTCGAGAAATTCCCTCCTCAACTTCCGTTTTCATTTGACAAAACTGATCATTTGCAAATTTAAATCTTGTCTTACTCATGAGTAATGACTTCATGAGCCGCAAAATCAGAAGGCTTATTAGTGCGAAGAAGAATTTGAAGGCGTCTTTTGATTTTGCCAATCATCGCGAATGAAAATTAGATAGTACTTACTAAATGAAAAGATGCTAAAGTACTCAGCAGCGGCGAATGTGCTCAATTTCTATTCAGATAACACCGGTAAAATTTGCAAACAAAAAATCTTAATAAGCGGTCAACTTGGTGCTTAAAAGTCGATAAATCTTATTATGGATGCTTGGAGTTTCCATAATCCAAGACAGGTATTCACACACGGTGAAAGCTAAATTTAAAGACTAACTGAATGATACGAAAGACGCCAAAACAGGTTAAAAAACCGACATTAAACAGACTGAAGGAATATCGTCTGAAGCGTCGCTCAAGTAACAAAGCAACGATTGGTTAACTTAAATGAGACATGAACATCGCAAAACTTATATGCTTTTCTTTATAAACTGATGCAAACTCTGCCCATGCAGACCCCAGACGTTACAGAAACATACGAAGATACGATTTTCGAGTAGGCTGTCCAAAGAGGAAGTCCACCGTTAGAGATTTATTTGCCATTTGACGCTTCGAGAAGCCGTCTAGACTAATTTTATTCAGAGACTGCAGAGCTCTGAGCACACCACTCGTTATACGGCGTATTTTGTGCTGCATGTATATCGCCAACGTCGACTGATGCTGAATCGGACCACTATTTAACCGTGACCTGTGTCGTCCTCGCCCTCGTTGAGTGTGGCTAGAATTGTCGGCATCGATCATTTCACGCCGTCACTGTCTCACTTCAATAAGATCCGTAAAACCAGAAGATCAGTTTGTATTGCTTTTGGCTGAACAGCTACACATGTGTGTGATCGTCGCTTACACCGATGATGTTAACGACCTTGAAGTTTAAGTTGTGCCCCATCTAAATGGCGGGGTTGGCTACATCTGGCTGTTGGCAGAAAATGACCTTCTTGTCGTGATTGTGGATGGGGTCTCTTTGCCACATGACTTGCCGGCGGATTATTCAGTCAGGCTCATGAAAAACTCCCGTCCCGAGTGACGCAAGAGTTGATAATGATAAGCATTTTACTGAGCTCTTGCGTGTGTGCAGTCATATTAACTTAAAGACATGCCCACAAATAAAACTCGAAACGAATAAGTATAATAGCAGATTTTTCTTGAAGTGAATGACGACTGAAGGGTTGGACGCCAGGATATTATGGGAAAGTAAGATAAGACGTTGAGCAAACAGGGCAAATATCGCCTCGAATACTTTGCCAAAAAGAAGCAAAATAGAAGTGATTTGCGAGTTTTTAGGCAAACATGGCTGTCACTCCTGGAAAGAAAATAAGTATGTGGGACAGGACCGTCCATAGAAAATTCGAGACCTTCATTGTCAATGAAAATACGCAAATCAGAAAAGGTCACTTGTAGCCAAATACGTGGTAAATGCGATCATGAAATTTTCTGGCCGACAGCAGAAACGACCATTCAAGTGTGCAAAGAAGGAATCCACAGTGATCTTTGATGGTTCCTTTCAATCTGAAATGAGGAGGGAATGTTAAACCCTGCATCGTTGAAGGTGACATTAAAAGTGGTTAAGCAACTAATTAGGAACATGGGAGTCGGTAGAATTTATTGAGGTTCTAAACGAATAAAGGAATTGTGTGGGAACTGTCCATAACCTTAGAGCTCTCTTTTATACACAAAGATGCGCCGTTCTGAAAGATAGGTTGGACGGCCGCCTATTGGCGTCTTAAAAAGAACGAGTGGGAATGGAGGATATTAAGTGAAGTAAATAGCGAAAATAACTCCTAGAACAATTGGCTAAAAAAATACAAAATAAACGTAATTTATGAGTTTTTTTTCAAAACGACGAAGACTCTCCCATGGGAGCAAAATAGGTTTTTTTGACAGGAACATCCCGCTAATGATTCTAGTCGTTCCTCGTCAAGGAAAATTCGCGAACCCGAAGAGGTAATTTGCGACCCCATGAACGGTCGATGCGACCGTAATATACACTATCTAACTGCAGAAACAACCTCCAGGTGCAAGACAGAGAGACCTATGGGCATTCTCAGCAGTTCCTTTAAGTTCGAAATGAGAAGAGCATGTTGAAGAGATCGAAAGACATCATTTCAGTCGACGACACAACTGAATTTAACAGCGAATTAACAGCATAGGGACTTGTTAGAATTAAGTGGGAGTTGACGGATGGAAAAATTGAATTACATTAGATTTACATGGGGCCTCGTTTTATCCTTTTAACTGCACATTACTCTGCTATGATTTTTGTTTAATTAGTCAGTCAGTATATTCGAAGTAAAGCATCGAGGCCCTGGAAAACACCATAATAACAACACAGTTCTGCCTAAAAAGCAACCGATTAGCGAATTCATTCAGGCAATTTCAGAATCCAATCATGCTCCGCTAAAGGTGGAGAAGAGGTGTCGTCAACTTTTCATGCCCAAAAATTAGGTTTTTACTCCGCGAATAGCCCTCTTCTGAGCTTTCGGAAAACAGTCGTAAAAATCAACACTACGACTATTGGACATATCGGGATGCCCCTGATTTACATTTGAATGTTCATTGTGGAAGCAGAATTTGTCTTGATGCATGTTGGTTCACTTGTTATAGTTACCGACGCTAATAATAACTCTTGTGGTTTCAACAAGGCTCATTTGTCATATGCCGTCGAGATATTGTACCAACGATAACGTGAGCACTTTACTAATTAATTGTGGCATTATGATGCGACATTTCCAAATACTGAGAACATAAGCATCAGAACTTTACTTCCCTCCCCTTACAGTTGTCTCTGAGGTCTCAGGACAAGTGAACTTCACGCTGACAGTTTCAAGACAGAATGCAACCGGACTGTCATTTTACTACTGCCAACTGAATGCAACATTGGGAGAGATCGTGACCTACGTGGTAGACTGGAGAGGTCTGTCTGTCAATTTTTAAATTCATTTGAAACTCCGCCCATTTGCAGCTGTATTTCGGGTTCTAATCCGGCGTATTGAGACATTATGACGGCGCAGATCTCGAATTCTCCTGTAGTAGGTATTATTGTTTTCGATAGTTTGATGTCTTCGGTAAATTACTTGCCTTAAGACAACAAACGAGTTAGAAGAGGATGTAAATGCGGAGATAGCGCATAAGTGGAAGTGCTTAATGATTGCTACTGACGAAGAATACTAGACTACACTAATTAAGGTGCCTGTATTTTTCATTAACCCTTCGTTTAAACGCATCTCCGGACTTGTCTATAGAAGGGTTTTTCAAACACTTAATCTTATTTGTATATTTTGGCCGTGAGACACGCATGCGCCTTCACATGATGCCTGCGGTTTTCTATGTGTCGTTTTATATGGAAACACTGCGAGTTTCATCGACTTCGGCGTCCAGTGTGTATCATATGCTCATTGTTTGTTAAGATATGGAAACGGTTTCTAACTTACAAATCGAACGCAAACAAATAACCACATACAACGGGCTTAAGAACACATGAATGAAAAACGCTCCTATTATCGAGTTAATGATCTTACGAAAACGCAATTATTCATAATTTTGCATGCCAGCTGCGACTGTTTTGCGTTTGTTGCGCGAACTATGATCTAATCCCCAAAGGTATATGAAATTAACAACAGATCGTTGAACATTTAAGTAGTATTTTAAGGGAAGGACGGTATAATACAGCGCAAAGTGCAACTTAAAATCCATTTAAAATGTCTTCAGTAAAAGGAAGACATTTGTGGCTAGAAAGCATTTTTTCAGCCCTTATATGGTTGGGTTGAGTATACAGTGTTGTCATAGGCAGTTACCTCCTCTTAGCAGATTAATTAATGCTTAACGCTACTATTTAAGGTCAGTTTGTTCGCCGATTTGAATCAAACATCAAATAGTGTTTCTCATTTTTCTTACTGTCCTTGATGATTGTTCACTTTCCTGAAGACTAGAAAAATTGTGCCTGGCACGTAGAAGCTGTAAGACCGACTAAATTCTCGAGGAAACGCAGATTTCGCGTTTGAAAACAAGTGACATTGTCATTAACACCAGGTCTTTCCTTTCACTTGCAAGATTCCAGTCCTCTACCGGCCGGAGGCATTCCACCAGTAATTCTTCCAACTCCTCCAACGTTTCTGCCACTTCTGACCTGCAATGAAAAGCGGGAAAGCCGTGGTACAGTCTAAAATACAACATCAACTATGGCTCAAAATGGCCCTCTGGATCTTTTTATACCTCGAAATCTTTTTCAGTCTAGAGCACTGAACAAAGTTTCCAATTTCGTTCAGAATGTCCGGGCATACGACACAACGCCGTCCATGTTCCTGTAGTTTCTGCGGATGTTTATCAGCATCCTTTTGTGTATTTGGCAAATATTTTATATTATTTTATGTTGAACGTTATATTTTTCAAAAACACGAACTCGGCATCAAATTATTTCTGTGCCCTGATCTATGAACGTTTCTGTCACCACGGCAAACATTAACAGAACCAGATTGAAAAACGTACATGTGAATAAGATGAGAATACACTTTTTTTCCTCCAATCAGAACAGAGTTGAGCCAGGAGTTGTATGCACTACTCGCTACACTGATTATTAAACCTTCGAAGCTGTTTCTTCTTCGCAGCGAAGGATGCAGAAGAAGAGTGACTACGCGCTATCGAAAATTAGTGTGAGCAAAAGTACGACTCATTAGAAATAAGTTTTTATATAATTATGCAAGGGATCGTTGGCCGATTAACCGTTTAAATCCTTTCAAATAGCTTCAAAAGACAGGTATGAGAGCAGAGGACAAAAGACATCCAATGAGGGGGTTGTTCATTCTACCCCTCTCAGTTTATCAGAGATGAACGATCATTGGAGCATAACGCAGTGGCATTGTACAGCGAAATTCCTTCTGGTGCATTAAAACTTTCAACTTAGGGGGAAGAAAGTGTTAGTCCTAACAACGAAAGTTTGTTGCGGATTTGACAATTAAATAGTCACTGCCTCGGCTATTGCCAGCACCCGTTTGCGTATGCCTTTGAAGTAGTGTCCTGACTACCGGTAGATAATTCAAAAGCTTCTTTTTTGTCAATTTGGTGGTTCGTATCGATCAGATGTGAGAGGACTGAATTTCAAATTGACCGATTTTCCCCTTTAACTACCTAGACAAGTAGGTGTTCGCATACCCCCTTTTCTAGACGCCTCGTTGTACGGCCATTGTAGCCCACTCCATAAGCTGTGGTCTGCAACGGCAGTCGTTCTTTACCCTCAAATCATTGAAGAAGAATGCGCGTAGGTTTGCTGCGGAAAAAGTACTCGTGATAGCTGTCCTCACACGTTGTCACGCTAATTTTCTTGGCGCGTATTCCAGAAAAGCTAGTCTTAGAAATAGGTTCTTCTTTCCTGGCAATTGCAACAGCGGCTTATGTGGTACGCTCTCAAATATTCTGGTGGAAAAATCTCTCTGTATAGCCGTTTTCGAGGATCGTGTTCTGGGGACCGGACGAAAACGGTTGAATTTGTCATGCGGACGATGTGGGAACGACTAATGTGACTGACCGTTCCCCCTGATACACTTAAACCCCACCCATAGCTTATGATTTCATTCGCAATGTAATGTTCGTGGAGTGATGATGAATTACCAAAAAACATGTGCTTGCCAACTCGTTTTTTAGTGAGGTGTATTACCGACAGGGGGTACTGTCGTGGCTGTTTCTGAATTATTTTTAAACCTATAATTTTTAATGCCTCACCTCCGGTTGTTGCAGAATACGCGGTCTCATCTCGGGCTACGTTTGGTCCCGCTGCATTGAAATCAATGCGTTCTATTTGAAACGGAGGTCTCACTCTCTGCATAACTTGGTTGGTGATATGACATGTCACAGGAGAGTGGTATTCGTCGATTTTTCGGAGTACGGGATGAATATTGACAGCAACGAAGTATTCGTCAAAAAAGCTCAGAAAGCCACTTGACTTTGAGTTGCATCTCCGTATTCGCCTGCGCATGTCTAACTCTCTCCCACAGGTAACTGAGGGGTGATCTAATGTAGATTTTCCACATGTTGGATGAAATGGTCTGTTGATTTGTCCCTAACGTTATTTTCGCTCAGGCAAACATACCCATTTTCCGCGGTTATCACCTAAAACTACGCACAAGTGAAACAGACGTCATTGGACGCAAGCTCGTTTTCAGTAACAGAGTGGGTAGAGCGTGGAACGCCCTGGCCACTGACATTATTTTCTCCTGGTCTGTGGATACATTTCAGTGCAAAGTCGACACCCCTTACAGATAACCTGTAACCCAACTAACGTATTATTACATTATTTGAAACATTCTGTAGACGTTCATGTTGGTGGGCGATGAGCTGCCTCCTTATCGCAAACAGTTATTGATAGATATTGAGTCAATATGAAGCATACATTTACGTGAATAATCTCTTTTCTGACTTCCTTACCTTCCTCTACGTTTTCTTAGATATTTTGCAACCAATAGGAAGCTTAATGCTGCTTTCCTGTCTTCCTCCTAATAAAACCAAAGGGGCCGTACTGAAAAAACCGTAATGTTCATCTCCATCCTTCAGTAATGGCAGATGTTTTTACGAGCTTATATTTACAACTGTGTCCATTTTTGTATAGAAAAAGCTTGTCCATAAATATCCAACAATGAAATAATGGCAAATTCATATCCAAGAGCCTTCATTATAAAAGAACGATGCTAAGACATACTTTATATTGGATAGGTTTTGCGTCGGGCAAGTTCATTGAGTAAGCTTTATGCCAGTCACACAAACGTACTCAAAGTCGACATCTAAACATGCAGCATTTTAAAGGCGCTTACTGATAATTACAAAAAAGTATTCCTACGTCTTGCCTTTTTGTTGTTTTTGTGAATCTGTTCTTTTCGCTTAATTTTATGCCTTTTCTCCAAATTATCAGTCAAAATCATAGCTTTGGTACACAGAAATCTGAGTCGAAGGACTTATTTGTTGCCATTGCATGAAATGTGGCATGACGCACTTTTTAGACCAGTATTATTGACCACGTGAATTTCACTAATCGGATGGTTGATCCGGAAATCCTTCTTCCGATCACAAATAAATCCTACTATGTTGTTAGTAACATCCGCTTATTACATCTACAGAACTTTTTCTGTTTGTCTTTCGTTCTCAGATAACACATCCTTTCGCGTGATCCAGTTGGAGTAAAAATCTACTTTTGCCTTTAATTGGTCGTCAGTTCTATATACCATCTGAGTGTACAATTTTTTCTAGCCAAGTGCTTAATTTTTATAGGGGTAGAGATATATTTTACAGAGTAGGCCAGAGTTTATTTCTAAATATAAAACTTTCGGTCTAGGCCGGAAGGCAGACCAAATACCTAACATGCAAGAGGGAGACATCTTCTTACGAAGGTTCTATCGAATGCTGAATCCGATGTCACAACAGGGGTGGAAGATATGTGTCTAGAAGGTATCGAAAAATTTAATTCCCTAGGTCTTCTCTTTTTTGAGCTATTTAGAATGAATCTTCTTCTTTGTTAAGCATACTTTTCTCAGTACAATTTCAAAATTCAGATAAGAGAAGTGAAAACCTTTTTTGTATCTCAACAAAAGTTTCATGATAATTTGAGACGTCAGCACACCAGCCCTCGTTTATAATCATATTATTGTCTGTTTGGCATATAGATCAAAGTTAATATCTAGCTGACGTTCCGTAGACTTTTTCTAAGTATGACACACTAACTTGTCATATGGTAGTTTTGTTCTAGTCATTAAAATATGGGGATTAATCCAAATCTGTGGAAATCCATCTGCGCTCTGCCCAAGATTTGCTTCACACAGGCAATCACTTCAAGGCACTTTTGTGTATAGCAGTAGATGTTACCTGTCATAGCTGCCATTCAGCATGAAAGTGCATGAGTTAAATTTTAATCAAAAATATACCCATATTCAGTCATGCTTTGATATCATGTCTGAATGACTACGTCCTGCTGAACTATATCGTTATAATAAGTAGAAACGATCGCTGGAAATAAAACTTTATTTGCTGAAGTAGGCAAGAACGGCAGGATTTATTGATACCAAAAAAATTCGCGACTGCTCTTCAGCTGCTTCCTGTCGCTTCATAAGAGGGATAACGAGTGAGAAAAATACAACAGATTTGAATTCGTGCAGAAAATCAATGCAGAAACAGCAAGGTTAGGGTTTTGGGCAAAGTTGGCTAATCGATAAAGTTAGTAACACAAACGCCGTAGGGGAAGAAAGGGAAAAAAAGGGGAAACGTTAAAGAGCAAAAAATGAGAGGAGAGAGGGGGAATCATGGAGCTAGAGGCTACCATGGTAATGTTAGGTTAACCACGTGCTCCAATTGTTTACAACGATCTGGTTATACTCGTCGTATATAGGCTGCCTCCAGGTAACGCAATGTCCGAGTTGTTCGTGCCCGAACAAGTACTCGGAAGGAAGTTTTGGCGTCGACGGTGTGACCAGTATGAAGTAGGTGTTTCGTAATGAATGAACGCGGGATCTTATTTTCTTGTCTAAGGAGCCACTTGGGCAGGTGCTCAATGGACCCGGCTGCCAACTGCCTTTGCGTTCGCCCAATGTACTTGCATCCGCAAGTGCATGTGAATTCATAAACACCATTTGACGTGGCGTGCATTGGTAGGGCATCCTTTGCCCGTGGAATCGGAAGTGGCTTAGTAGGACTGCAGAATACTAGTTCGGCTGCATTGTATGTCCTTTCAATGGCAGAACGTAGCCGTCGTTTGATAGTATTTAAAATATTGTCGCCCTTAAAGGGCAAAGATATAAAGACGGGTTTTTTCGGAGCTGAATGCTCTGTCAGTTTTGGCCGTGTAGAGTTGCTGTATTTGTGGATGAACCGTGCGGGATATCCACGCTTAAGTAGAGCTTCTTTTAGACGTGCAAATTCTGCATCCAGTGTGTCATTAAAGCAAATGTTTCTAGCCCTTTGGAAAAGAGCGTATACCAAGTTACGTTTCCATTGGATAGGTACAAAACTCAAAAAATGCAAGTAATGTCCCTTCCAAGTATTCTTATGGAAGACAGAACGTCTTAAAGAACCATCTTCCTTTTTAAACATAAGAACATCCAGAAAGGATAGCTGGTTGTCTTGTTCCTTCTCCATTGTAAATTTGATCTTTGGACGCAGCTTATTCATAATAGAAAGCAGTTCTTCA